AAAACGTGCACATTTTCTAGTCTGTTGCGCTAAAAATAAAGAACAAACGACCCCTCGGACTGAGCCATGGCTTCGTCCATCCCAGTTTGACCAAGTCCATAGGAAGAGGACATGTGACGGCAATGTTGACTCAAAGTCCACATGGGACATGGTCACGTCACCCAGGCACTCCCATAAGCTCGAGGATTTGCTCGTAATCTGTCAAGGTATTAACATTCGCTGATGGGTTTACAACTCTTTAGGCAAAGGATTTGATCGCATTATGATACGATGCAACTAAATCCCCGTGATTTCGTTTTTCTAACTCTAGCTTTTGAAGTAAATACGCGCAATTACAGGTGCGCCAGAATGATAAAACCTGCTGTCCGAATTCTTGAGTGGTCGAAACAAACATTTTCTTATACAGATAGTTAATATGAATGTTGATATTCGTCTTTTAATTAAAACTTTAGGTGCTCCGAAATCTTAAGTAGTTATCGGTCCAAAAATGTACATGATTTTTGGAGACTACAGCGTGGACAGTGTTCCGTAGGCCTAAAAGTGCTCGCGCAGTAGCTCCTCTTCGATAGGCTTTTCTCTAATGCAAATTTCACAATAGTTTGAAAAGCCATCTTGCCAAATTTCCAGGAAATATTCATCAGAACTGACAGATTTACTGAGGGCATCCTTTTGGTAATTATCCCTTTTCAAAAAATTGTCCAACGCGTAAGAGTTGGAATGCCTTGGAAAACACATCACCTTGGTTTACTTGAGCCAGGAGTAAATTTAAAATTTGATCATCATCGTCGACAACAGCGTCCATCTACTTCTAGCATCACAGGCCCTCGAGCCTGACGACTACAATCCTGCACTAAACGATCAACTATAAAAGAAGTCTAGTTCTTTTTCATTCGCGTTATCTTACGGCGAAAGTATGATTGATTGACGAAATCAGATTTATGTTCTTTTATTTCGCGCTTCAGACGAGAAATTAAAACTAATGCTTTCGACCGACTGGGAACAGGGGGCGAGGGATGGGGAGTGCAAATAACAACTGCGAACCCGCCTTTTGGTGAAAATGTCTAGGCGTAGTTCTCTTTTCAGCAAACAGCACAGCAGATGGCGGGAGGAGAGGCTGTTTCGGATTTGTATCTAGGGGAATTGGAATAGGCAATCCAAAGGGTGGGCTTACCGGTGCTAACAATATCACGCTGAATGCACGGCTGATGAGAGTTCGACAGAGATTGGTTTAAATTTTCGAATTCTTTAATCCTTCTGGGAGAAAAACAAGAAGCTAAATCTTGACGTCTCAGTTTTTTGTCCTAAGGGAATTCTAATACACATATCCTCAATAGCAATAAGTCGAAGACGCCCTGTTAACTATCTTTTAACTGGGTGATATTGCCTTCATCCGGAACTACTGGTGTTAAAAACTGCTCGAAATCGCGCATTTTTTAATCGAGCGTAATTTGGATAAATTTTCAACGCGTAATACCCTGTTTATTCTACATGCTTTACCCTGCAACGCGGAATCACATAGCTAATAATTCGGTGGTTCGTAAAGAGTTTGGATTCGGCCTACTACTGTGCGAAGTGCACTTTTCGATGCTCATTATGGACTCAAACTTTCAAGCAAAAAAAAGAACACATCAAGCAAGCAACCACAGAATCGAAAGGCAGATCCCACGAACAGACGACAGCCACTCACACCGTCATGTGACCAAGCCAACAATAACGCCAGCAGACAACAAAAGCAAATAGAAGTGCATCACTAAGTGCAATGTAGGTGTTGTCTTAGTCTCTATGTCACCTATTGTCTACCCTCCCTCCCCCACCGTTGTTGGTTTGGAAACTTTGAGGTTTGGTAGACTGTTGCTGGTTGGTGATATTTCTCGTGGACTTCGCGCCAGATTGATCGTCCTGAGCATTTTTCCTTGTAAATAACCCTGCAGTACATGCAGAAAGAGACGGACAGGCAGTGGAACGGCAATTAACGTTCGACCGTGTTGACGACCTACCAATCGTATTTTATCTGTGAACCAGCTGCGTGTTGCGAATGTGTCTATTTTCGTTCCTGGCAGTCGAATTTGTCTAAAGCATGACTGTTCAATGCATCGTGAATAGGCCGGAAACACATTATACCCGTCTCTTCCCATCCTGGTTGGTCCGTCACTGTTGAAATTTGAAGTTTTGTATGGTCCCTTTGATTTTATTAAAAAATGTGTTCCTACTGCTAACTTCCTTAAATTTTTGTGCTCGTCAATCCCTTGAGTATTGTTTGTGACATTCTCAGACCCCTTCGTGTATGTGCCTTTATCTGTGGCCTTGTGGCAGTACTTGCACCGTTTACGTCCTCTCCTTGCTGCCTACTCGCGAGTTCTTTACGCCATCTCATTCTTAATATTCGCTATGATTCCCAGTATCCTCTCCATCAAAAATAACGGCCACATTTGGTCTAGTTCTTGGTAATCAACACCCCAGAATGGTTGCCTTTTTGCTCAGCCGTTTTGATCGGCCATACCACAAAAGAAGTTTTGCAGGACTTCGTAGCAAAGTTTAACTCGGTAGTTGTGAAGCGAAGCTAATTTGACCGCCCCCACCAGAACCACCGGTACATACTATTCTAGCAGCTGTCAGGGTCGTTGATTAAATTGGTTTGTTTGCATGGCTAAACACACACAAACGGTCTATTTTTGATCATTCGCTCGAAAGTAGGATGGGAGACGAGACTAGGTACCTCCGGTGTGACATGTGGCCTTGCGTTAGTTTCCAGGGGTTGTCTCTTCCCTTGTCCTAACCCTAACGCTAGCATTAATCCTAAACCTAGCCCTAAGCCCTCTGGGATTTAACGCAAGTCTACTTGTGATTTGGGCGCGTGAGTACCTACTCCCCTATCCTGCCGAAAGTACACAGTGAATACCAGTGCCCCGCTGAAAGTCCCGAACACGTCAAAATGCAAGCGCGCTTCATTGTAGTTTATTTTCGAGTCTACCAACAGGTGATCGTAACAAAAAATTCGAAGTAGATGACACCCTTACTGGATTCCTTTGCGAAGACTATTTTATCGAAAATTTGCCAGTTTAGCGTAAAAATGTCACATGCATTAAAAAAGTGACTCCAGATAAGACAGTCAAAGGTAACGGTAGGGTGTAGGACCCCACCTAGTTTGCAACTCCAACATGTACAGTAGAATTCATGTGACCGTAAACGTCACTTAATATTCACCATTCCCATCGGCTGAAATTTCCTTGCCTTACTGACTAAATGTAAACTTACCAACGGCGGCCTATTCAAACTCCGTGATCCTTTGAAAATTGACTTTTGTTTATTTTTTTAACAATCGTGCTCGCTTTCATTGCCAAATGACAGCCTACGATGAGAGTTTCGGCAGAAATTTGTTTATTTTCTGTCTTTTTTGCCATCCGTCCTGTATGTTGCCCCACCCGCAAAACCGCCTACCACCATTCAACGTATGATACAGTCCATAGGCTAGCTCAAGTTAGTTGGGGGTCCTACACCCTATCGTTGACCAGCCACATTCAAATAACTGTAAAATGCGACTGACATGGACATGGGTCACCGAAATGGTCTCTTTCTAGATTATTTTCCGTCATCGGTTAATAATATTACAGGCCCATTCGAGCATCCTGAGATGTGGAGTCAGGCAGTTGGTCATCGAACTCTCTGAATCTAGTTATGAAGCCCCATCCTTTCAGTATCAGGTGGGAAATATTCGAGAATTTGAAGCTCTCGTCCTGGGTCAATGCAGACGGCCGCATAACGACTAGCAATCAACTAAAAGGTCAAATTCTGGTCTTTGATGAACTTGTCCGCCATTTCTGCGAAAAGGATTTGTTTGCCCCTACAGGCCATTGAGCGCTGGAGTCTAGTCGGGGACGATCGTCTGTGGGCATGGTCGCTTTCATTGATTCACACAGGTTCGTCCCCACATGACGTAAAATAATTTTCATCTACGCCCTGATCTTACATTTTAATCATTAACTGCTTCCCCTCCTAGTCTAAGACTGTGGTTCGAAGGGCAAACCCTTCATCTCAAGCGGAAAGATCTGGAAGCAGAAAGGATTGGTGATAAAAGAACTCAGTAATCTTCGCTTGATTAATATGCTTTTGATCACGTCCTTCTGCTGAGAACGTTGGCCAATGCGTTCGATGCCAGAAACGACTCACTGTCAGAAGAAGTAGGATTAGGTGATGTTCTGCACGCTTAATTGAGTGGATGGGGTGTCAAGTAACCCGGAGAATCGTTCTCAGGACAGTTTCTACCAGAAAATCATTTGATGCGGCTTGCCACTTTTCTACCCTTCTCTACAGATAGTCGTCTCCTTTACTGCCATCGTGTCTTCCAATTTAAGAATTGTGTGTTGTGTATGGTTCGGATTTTTACAATTACAGCGAATTCGCTCCATTAGTTTTACTGATCTTTTTGCAAACAGCCTGCCGTTCAGTCTATGTGAACACGCTCGCCCTTTGTTTAGAAACCTGCCACAATTTCAGGACCCGGTCTTTTCCTCATAATTTGTAAAAACGTTGAGATTTCTCCAGTCGAATGTTTTTGTGTACCGATAGTCAACCACATAAGTTTTCACGACCTCGTTCGTGAGGTTCACAGTAGGCTTGACGCTCCAGTTTTCTGTCAGAGCAAAACCTGGTATTTTTAGTGTGCGATGTTTTATTGGTTTTGTCTTCTCAAGGATACGCTGACGGCAAGAATTTCTTCACATTAGTCAGGGCGGTTACGGCACGACAGCCAAGGGGGCCGTGTCGCTGTTCATCTCCGACGGAGCGACATTTCTCACAGAGAAAGGGCAGATTATGAAGAGTTGGGGCAAACACTTCAGAACCGTCCTCAATCGCTCATCCGCAGTCTCCGACACCGCCATCGACTGCACTCCTCAAGTAATAAAGAACACCTGTCGTCCTCTCTCCCAGAAATTATCAGAACGGTGCAACAACCGGTAGGGGGCGCTCACCGCTCGTTATTACGGAACTCACTCGTTCCCATGGGCCTTACGGGCTCTTTCTCGAGCCCAACCAGCGCGACTCAACCAGTGCAACAACTCTCCAGCACGAAGGCACCGACATCCGACAAAATCCTGGCCGATGTCTACAGTCACGGCGGCGCCGGTGCTGGTGGACAAAGGCATGTCTTTATTCCAGGAGATCTAGTTGGAAGAACAATCCCTCAGGATTTCAGGGACGCAAGAATCGACCAGCTCTATAAACGGAGGGGGAACTGACAACTCTGTGGTAAGCACAGAGGAATCTCGCTGCTCAACATTCCTGGAAATGTCATTGCACGCACCCTTCTCAATCGCCCCAACGACTGTCTGGAGCACGGACTTCTTTCGGAAAATCAGTGTGGTTTACAATAACACCGTGAAACCACTGACATGATCTTCACTGCCCCCCCCCCCCAACTAGGCGGGAAGTGCCAGGGGATGCGGATCCACCTCTGCACTGCCTTCGTGAACCTGACGAAGGCTTTCGACACGGTGAATCACGATGGACTCTGCGAAATCATCCGGAAATGTGGTTATCCCGCGTCAGCTCCACGGCAGGATGATGGCGCACGTCAAGGACAATGGGACAGCCGCAGGTGCATTCGCAGTGATCCATAGAGTTAAGTAGGGCTGTATATTCGCCTCCACCTTCTTTAGTGTCACCTTCTCTGCCTTGATACTGAATGCCTAACGTGGTTAGCCTCCTGGGATCTGAATAATCTGCAATGCCAATGACCATAGTCTTAGTAATCGACATATACATGTCTCAACTCGTCTCTCCACGACCACTGTTCATGATATGCTCTTCACGAATGACTGCGCGCCCAACAACGCGACAGAAGCAGGCATGTAGGCCACTTCGTCTCCGGCGATGCCAACCTTAGACTGACCATCAAATCGTATAAAACGGCAGTCGTGCATCAGTCGTCACCCAACACTGAATACAATGTCTCACTCTCCACTTTTAAAGGTACCCAGAACAAAACTATGGACACCTTCGCTCAGTTAGGCAGCACACTCTCCCACAGCATCATTATCGGAGACTAAGCAGCCCACTGGATCTCCAAAACCAGCCAAGCCTTCGGCCGGTTACAGGCTACCGTCTGGAACTGACACACACTTGGAATCAACACGAAGCTCAAAATGTATGGGGCGGTAATCCTGACAGCGTTGCTATACGAGACGGAGATACAGACCGTCTACACCAATCAATCCAGGGAGCTTAATCACTTCTACCCCAACTGTCTCCGGAGGATTTTAAGGCTGGGCTTGCAGGATGGGATTCCTGACTCGAAATTCTTGGAGAGGACTGGAATCCACAGCATTTACGCCATGCGGAGGCAACTCCAACTGCGATGGAGCGACCCCCTCCTAAGGGTGGACGACGATCGTCTACCCAAAACACTCTTCTATAACGATATCGCGACGGGTACTCACCGACAAAGCGCCCAAAGCGACGCTACAAGGCCACTTTGGAAATCTCTCCCAAACGGCTACAAATCGGGCCAGATGCCTGGGAGGGTCTCGCTCAAGACTGGCTGGCCTGGAGCGCAACAGCGAAAACTGGAACAGCCATCTACAATGCCAATCAGATCGTCGTTGTCGAAGTCAAAAGAGCAGCTCGCAAGTCCTAAACACCTCCGACCCACAACGCCAACACCCTAATCCCCTCCCCCCCCCAAAATGCCCGTGCTGTCAACGAAAATTCCATGCGCTGCTCGGCCTCGTCGGACATCTGCGGACCCAGTGCAATAAAACCCAACAACCCCACCTGCTGCCTCCACATAGACCTCCATCATCACCCCTGAACCAACCCTTGCAGAGTCCACGACGGCGAAAATCACACTCACTACAGCCGATGACCACAGCCCTGATGCCTCGAAGTCATCAGTCACTGCCGCCACCATCATTCCTGCTACAAACTCCGTGGCGACGGCGACGACGGCAACCACTCCTCCCGCTGCTGGCACCGTTGATAACACGCCTGGCTTCGCATGGACCACCACTATCTTCACCAACGAGCTCGCCACCAGCAATGCGGACACGATCTCGACCTGTTCTCATTGCGATCGCACCTTCACGTCGCACATCGGCCCGGCCAGTTACCTGCGAATCAATAACACACATATTGACGAACTAGTGCCGGAATCCCCGGCATGTGCTCGCCGCATCCGCCTCCACTGTCCTCTCGGTCCATGCAAATTCACTCACCGCATGGGTCTATTCGGACACATTCGTATCCATGACAACGAAACTCACCACAATATCAACATGCATAGTACACCTTGCGCGCCTGACAACTCTTCCATCTCGAGTACCTCCACCTACCAGCGCCGCTATCATTAGCAGCACCAGCGCAACCGATGCAACACCCTCCAACCTACCCTGTCCACATTCTCACCGAACAGGCACATCACTCATCGGCCTGGTCGGCCACCTGCAAATTCACCGCAAAGAAATTGGTGAACCAGTGTCTGGAATACCAACATACACCTCAACTCAGTGGTCCGCACTGCCCTCCCATACTTAGCCATCACATGTGTCTACTTGTTCACATGCACCTCCATGAAAATCTACGTTAAATCACTGCAAACGAGAGCACATCGCCATACACACTTCTCCATCAGTATGTGCGCCACCTATAAAAACATTCAATATCACACGCAACAGATACGAACAAGGCAGCCCTCACATATATGGGAAGTGTGTTTTCCGGCTCCTTTATGTGGCTCTCAGTTACATGAGAGATTTTAGCAGTCTATTCCCTTTTCTGTGAAATCCCGGTGTGCGCGCATAGTCAACAGATCGCGTGTATGGCACGGACTTTCGAACCGTTCCCGTTTCTGTCAGTCGACTCTCCCAATCTCAAAATCGATTGGTTGATCGCCTCGGACAGAAAGCTGGTGCAAGGGGAAGGGGGGAGAGTGAGAGTGAGGTCGACTCTCAGCGCACTTTTCTCACAACAGAAAATCCGACGCACTTGAGATTAGCACTGTGCGCTAGAAGCCGTGACTTGGAAGGCCGCCAACTGAAGATTCAACTCAGACCTCGTAGCCAACCCAGTGTGTGTTTGTGTAGATTGAACGACTGGTGGACTGATAGCCAGACTGCAATGCCACCTTCTTATTGTGGTCTTTATGGCATTCCTACTCAGTCGAGACCTGAGCCACCCCTTCTTGTTATGTAAATCGTGCGTAGACTGGAGTGTGTAGTGGCACGCCTAGCTGCGCGTTCGCATCGCAGCAGCCACCTGCGTCCTTCCCTGCCTCCGGGGTTCTTAACTTTGTCTTGACACTGGGTCTAGGTGGGAAAGGAAGGGGGAGTGCAGTAGATGCGTCGAAAGTCTACTACCACTATAAACAAATTCATGCGGTCGTCACAGCCCCTGTTGTGGGGGTCACGGCGTACATTGTCAGAAAGGACAGTCGAAATGTCACTTTGTTTCGCATTCTCTTCTACCAATGAATGTTGTCCGACGATTCTTGTCTCGGATATTCGTGTAAAAGCTTGCTTGTCATGGCAATTTGACATTGCGCCTAATCAACGAGCGGACGTCCTCAGGCTGTCTGACCATTTGATGGCAATCTGTCCCCCTTGGTCGCTGGCGCGGCTCCTTACTCGTGCCGCCCTTCTGTCCACCCCACGCTCCCTTCCAATTCGCCGCTGGGACCGCGCGAGAATTGACACTAGCCCCCTGAGAGTTCAAGGCCAATCAACGCGGCTCCTTCGTCGATTGGCTGTAGGCTGTCGCAGGTGAGACAGAGTGTCAGTTTGACTGCCGTTTCCGACGTTGTACACCGTGTGCTCCACAGCAGGGTGACAGCGGGACGGGGACGTGCGTAAGTTAGTTTATAGGGCATGTAGACCGGCACAGCATCTATCACAGTCTCTCCTCCTCCCTCATCTGGATCCGGTGTCATGACCAGGTCAAGGAGACTGGAGGTGGGAGAGGCCGCAGGTGACTGGTACAGCGGAAACACGCAGCTAGGCCTACCACCACACCCCCTGGTCCACAACAAATGCCTGACCAGAACTTTGAACAACAAAAGTGGGAGGCTGCAGGGATCCCAATTGGCGCGGCGTGAGCCTGCGAGTGGGCCTGCCACCACACCCTAAATGTTAGCTTTTTTTATGGGTGCGCATTCCCGAAAACGCCTGATGGACTCCCATCTAACTCCTTTGGTGATCCAGCGCATCGACCGCGTGACCCGTTTTAGAGACATGCGCTGGGAGTTAAAAGTCTCAACGGCGGACACACGCACACACGCCTGAAGAGGCGGCTTGTGGCAACTGCTAGCTGAACCTCCCGTACGCTCTCTCACATCAGTAAAACTTGTCTTGCCTAATCTGTCTTTCCTAATTTGTGATTTGGAAATCATCGTGCTGTCGACCATTGGGAATTCTTGCGTCCGCTCTCCAGCAATTTGATAACTTTTTAGCGCATATGAAAGCCAAGGGCGGCTACGATGTACTTGAGTAGCGTCCAGTTTACCTTTTCATACGACATGTCTTCCTGTCTAAACCTAATTAGTGTGGTCGAGAATTGATATTTCTTAGAGCCTGAATGCGCACACCTCGACTCGCGTCTACGTACGTGGGCTTCCGAGGAGGCCTGTTGACTTGATTTCAGTAATGATCATAAAGGCAGGGTCGTTCTTCCATAACAAATGGTCTATGACAGTGACGATTACATCCGCGTCATTTCGCCGACACACCTAGTGGAGGTAGGACTGAGTCATTATTTGCGTGAAAATGCGTGGGGGAATTTTATGTCTTGTTAATATTTTTTTGCTCCACCTCCATAAGGCGTTCTTGCCAAATGACGCGGAGGTAATCATCATTGCCATAGATCTCTTGTAGTAGAAAAGCGGCCGTGCCGTTGTGACCTTCATTATTGAGGTCCGGCTGACGCGGACATGCCCTCCAACTCGTGACACCTGAGCGTCTGTCCGGCGACATCGGGCGTGTACCTCTCGTCCGGCTCCAACTCATCGTTCCCTGTTATGTACAACATACAATTCGCCATGTACTTGCGTCTGCCTTCTCATCCTACTGAGGAAAGGACCTGAAAGTCGTAGTGGTTTGGGTCTGACCAATATTTTAACTGCCACGACATATTCCCTTGGGCATAACGCCGCATCCGCGGTTACTGGTTGTCCGGTGTCACCACTATCCGACGACAGTGACGTAGCGAATTTGCTCCCATAGTTGATGCATCGGGCGACAGTTGCCCAGAAACCTGTCGTCCTTTTAATATTTTTCTTGCTTCACGGCAGTCATTACTTTTTTGGGGAATATTCTTCATCGGACTTTTGTTGTGAATGCTAATTACGAATTAGTTTGGAAATTTCAAGCGTCGATGAGGACAAAAATGCGATCCCCAGGCAGCTTAGCGCTGGGCAGAGAGCGCCCATGGAGAAATTCTATTCCAGAAAATGTCATTTCAACCCATAATCCCGAAGGTTCATCCTCCGAAACTATCAATATCGGAGCAAAGCGGCTTGTGAATTCAGTGTGTACAGTATTGCAGATCGCGTTGACTGATAACACCAGTGCCGACTGTGTGAGGGCTGCTTATTCGTGATCTTCATATCCACCTTTTTCCGGTCATGACGGCCTGCTTTTACGTGGTCTTAGTTTCGGAGGTTAGATCCGGTTTTCCATGACGTCGGTAGAACACGAGAATAAGCACCCACCGAATCTAGTGCAAAGTCGCCTGTAATACGGGGTGTACCTATTCCCGTGTCCAACCACCGCAAGTTGGACAATGCGGCAAATTTATTGATAGGGTGCTGTAGTGTGTCGTCATTTGTTTCATGAAACAGAAGACAGGATGATAGAAAACAACTTCGCTACGACTATCAGCGTGTGTGCATAAACTCTTCGACCCTTCCGTCCACGACGTCTTATTTAAGGGCAAGGTCTTTGTCTAATGCGCGCGCTCTCAGTAACCTCTAAGTCTAAGCATGAACAGACCCCACGCCAGTTGCCGGCGCCGGGATGTCGCGCCTGCCAGTTGCTGACGCACGGGTGGACTTGGGGGAGGAGGGGGGAAGGGACTGACTTTCGGCGGCGGTGTTTCCTGCCGCGCGCGAACACTGCACGCCGAGTTCGGGGTCGCTATATGCTGAACGGCGAAGGGTCTTTAGTATAGTTAACACCAGGACCCACGATTTCAACATCACCGGGGCCAAATTTACGGTCAACCTGGGTAGAATGGATCCAACCGCTAGTCGGTATTCGTGCATGCTGATGCATAGTTTTAGCCGGGGTTTCCGTAGCTTCAATTACCACAGCCACGTTTTAAATAACGAATGACTCCTCCCTCATGGGGGTTGGATTTTTTGAGCTTTTCACACAATAGTGGTGATAAGGCAGGTTTGCAAGCGATTTCAGCTTTAAATGACTAGAGAGAGCATCTGCAGTCTCCAATTAACCTTTTCCATTCAGGATGATCTGAAAGGACGTGGGCTGTCTGGTCACTTTAACTTTGTTCCTCTGAGAAGCACCGGCCCCTCTTCATGAACGCTCGCGTGTAGCGCAGCGCACGCGTTTCAGTTGACTCTCGCTGCAGTCGCCGTGTTATAGTGAGTTACTATCCGCCAGCAACGGATGCGCAAAACAACCTTATTGCGCTGCCATAGATGATTGTTACGAAAACATAGGCTCCATAGCGCGGTCGTTGCTGTCCTGAAAACCACTGTCTCCAGATGACACCGATTCGCGACAAACGAGAGCATGTAGAGGGAGAAGTCGATCAGCATTTACTTTTGCTATGAGGGGTGGCTAAATGACTGAGCGAAGTTGTGCTGCCGCAGTAGCTGAAGCCATAGTCGAGCCCCAGTCGCTACGATGATCCGGTCACGTCCCCAGATGAGAGAGGACACGGACGTCATTAAAGTGGACATGATATTTTGCAGAGTAGGGGTGAAGAATCAGTGAGAGGAGCTAGTTGGCAGCCGAACGCTAAAGGGCACATTCAGAGCCCCGTACAACGTTCAAGTGCCGTGAATGAGAGCATGTTCGCGCCAGCCTTAGAGTTGACTGACAGGTTTAGATAGCCGAGGTATGCCTCGCAGTGTCCGTGACTGGTCAGATGCGATGGCGGCATCACACAGGGCCGCACGCTGTCAGATAAACGGACTGTCGTTGATGTGTAGGCTCAGGGCTGCGTCGGTCTGAGGCTCAGTTTCCACAGAAGGTGGGACTAGGGTCACTACAGCGCTTGAAAGTACTTGCCCCCATATTGCTGGATGACCACACAGTTGTCATCGGCATTCGAAAGAAAGAATTTGTATTTATGCCGCAGATGTTGGCAGGGAAAGTGACGACCCCGCCACTGTGCC